CCTCAAAAGTACAATTTGGAAGACACGCCCTCTCAAACAATGCCCATAAATTGATTATTGTTTTTAAGGAAACATATCATTTGTAACCCAAATCAGATTTATCATTTCATTTAAGATATTTGATTTATTGGCCCTTTCGTTAAAATACAAAGATCTGTAACAATCTTCACGGTCATAAATGACCTGTGTTCTCAATCCGTGTCCAAAGTATTGTTGCTGCTGATGAAGTTACTATCTACCGATCATTGCACAGATATTACTGGTCAAAGTTGTTTACTATCAGAACATTAGCGCTTTATTGACGTTCCATAATCCACAATTGGAATATTCCGATGACATTTTTAGACTAATTTTTCCAAGAATTCATTTAAAATCTTATTTTAAAACTTTTCATGAAGGAATGATTAGAACTTAGAATTCGTTTCTCGTGGTACTTATCAATTTCTGCAACAAATGGATCATGGTAAGGGAATGAAAAGAGAGGTATTAAGGAAGAAGTTCTATGCAGGTACCTGCCCTTTCTGATGATCAGTGGTACTTTATGTGCGATCGCCCGCATTCCATCCCATTTTACCTCTACTGCTCACTCCTCTTCCCATTTTCCCGCCATGCCCATGTTACGGTGTTGCTAGCAATTATTATTCATCCCTCCACATCTCACTCAAATAAACATTTCAGTTATTTGCGCTCCTTGCGGTATAATTGAGTTTCAACTTTAATTTCGTAGTTGACAACAAGAATAAGATTGGCGGTGACATTTGTGCCATAATCAGAGGATCATCGTAATCTCCAAAATAATACATTTATTGTTTTGAATTTCAACCAAAGTGTATAAATATTTCGATTCGATTATTACTTTCCGAAAGATCGCCGCTATAAGGATGATCCATTGGTGAGTGATATAACCGTTTTACTGTACTGTTTTTGTGCTGGTACTAACAATGTTTCTAAATTTCACTGTCAACAAATATGAGTACTTTTTAAAAAATTCCATTAGTTGTGTTCTTTTAGGAAAAAACTTTTTGGTATGTCAGGTGCAACTTACCTGGAAATATCTTGTAAAGTTTCACATTTAATTATTATTAGTACTGCTGCTTAATGCAGTAGCGGTGCAATTCTTGAAAGATAAGGCAGATGTAGTATGTTGGATAAAATGAATTTTTCTCAAAAGATTTGATTCATCTAGAAGAAGAATTCATCTCTGTTATTTTTTGACTTTAACCAACTGATATCATTAATTAATTTTAATTTTTAAAAGGGCTTCGTTATCGTACAGTTTTTTGTTGTCACTCTTAATCATTATCTGAACCTTTCGAAACTGCTCAAATCAATTGTTGCTTAGAATTGCAGAAATGGAAGGTGAACAACGTGAGAAACGCAGTTTGAGTAACCGTAAAATTAGGCGGAATGAAAGTTTGCCAAAACGAAAGAAATATGAGAAAATGGCGCAATCAAGCAATAGTATTGTTGCTCAACAGCAGATGAACAACGTCGGTAGTGAAGTGCGAAAATGTTTGATAATTCTCTGCAATATTTTTTTTTTGTTTTTTGTTCAAGTAAATTACAAAATGTTAGATTGCTGCGGAATTGAGATGCTGTGATAATCGATGCTAAGTAAACTATAAGCTCATTTCACGGGATGTAGGATGTTTTATTTATTTCAGAACATCGGCCAAAGCAAAAGTGTTAAAGCAGTGCAAGGAGCTCCAAGTGCTACAGAGCCGACTCCTTCCATTAACTTGGACATTCAACGCATTTCGAGACATTTTCCAACATTTTCCTATCCTCTGGGTACTGCTCCTGTTGCTATGGTTTCGGGCCTTTCTACAGTGATTTCGAACGCTTCAGATGCTGTGAAGCAGACTTCAAATAAAGTGTCACGAATTTCTCTTGGAACAACCCAAGGTGTTTCAAGCAATCAAGAACATACTCGTTTTATCAGAGATATATCCGGCGATAAAGTAGCAGTAGGTGAACTGCATGGGCGGATCTCCGTTGCACTTCCAGAATGCCGGGAAAAGTCAAGTGGTAATCAGGAAAGATTAAATGGATTGCAAACTCCTTTGCAATCACCGAGATTACATGTGAAGTATTGTAATGATCTTCTGATGGCACCAAAGAAGCGTCGTTGTACTCGCAGTTACAGGATGACAAAAACACCAGGGTAATATATGTTAAGATCCCTACTGTCAAAGAATGAACCTTAGAGAGGAGAGGTAAAAAGATTATGCCTACAATCAGTCAAATTGAAGCAAAAGATGTTTTATATATTTAGAACGGAGTAAACAAAAAGAATCGCTTAATTGTTCCTTATTTTTCGCATATTTTAAAATCGTCCAAGAATCATTTGAATCGTTTCAGGTTGTGTTGCTTTTCGTTTCTTTTTTCTCTGTCTTTTATTGCTTTTATGCTGTGCATATTTAATTTAGTTCTTTGAATATTTTTTTGAAAAGGTACAGGAAGTTTTAAACGATTCTGTTATTCGGTTTCGATTGGTTTTTTACTTATTTTATATGGAGTTGTGTAAGTTTGCTCTTTTGGGTTTTTTAAAAGCTTTTTATTAATTTTTTACTCTATAATTTTTTTTTTCATCAAAATTTTCAATCTAATATCCTTTTTTAAGTTTATTGTTTTTTGGATTTTATTATTTCCAGTTTTTATTTGGATTTTTATTCTATTATTTTTTAAATTAAATCTTCATTTCCATTTTTATTCAGTTTTTATTTGAATAACGAATGAAAGGGGACCTTTTTCAGTAAAGATAGCTATAAATTAAAATCACTAATTAATTCCCGTCATTTATAGCGGTTAGTAGACATAGAATTTGCTTCAAGAATGGTAAAAAAAACTGCTCACATTGTAATGGAGCATATGTGTTGCATATCACATAATATATTTGTATGTTAATCTTTTGTTTCTCTTTTCAGCTTGAAATATTCTTTTTTTTCCTTATTTACTCGTTTCTGTGTTATGCATTCTTAATTAATTCTTAAATTTTCCCAATCTTCATATGTGGATCAATTATTTGGTTAGATTATTGGACTGTTTTCAGCGGGATCATATTAGCACCATTCGGTTTCTTAATTAATTATCCTTATTAAAAATTTATTAACTCGTTTTTGATCTATTTATTGACTGTTTTTATTAACCAAGAAGCGGTTCAGGTCTTCAAGATTGCTTGAAACTATTAATATTCTTGCTTCATAACGATCAGATCGATGCATATATCAGATTTTTCAACGAAAGTATGAAATTGATAAAATTTTCTTGGACGATACAATGAGATGGACAAACTCATTTGCATGAATTTTTGGAAGATTGTTCTCGAATCACGGAGCTTTTTGTAATTTTAGTCACATAAATTTTTGGAAATTACGTTGGAATGCAGCAAAATAAAGAAAAATAAAAAAACATTTTGGAATGGATTACATAAAAGAATAGATGAACAAATAAGAGAATTGTTAGGAAATGTTATTTAGTCAAAATTAGATAAGTTGACAATGTTACTCAGTCAAATCCAATAGGGTCGACAATGTTATTTAGTCGGAATCTAATAAGATAAGGCAAACTGAGGAAGATTTTCAAACTGTCACGTGTATGGGTAGACTCGTCTGACATACATAATTATAAAGTGGAATGGAAACGAATCCAGCAATGACAATTCCAATCGCGTCACCCAACGAACTGATAGACATTGAAAATTCTCGAACGTCCGGTTTTGCCTGAAAATTTTTCCTGTAGTTTATTAGAAATTTGATGATTGGTTTGAGGAGATGTCAACTTATTCAGTAATAATTCAGTTGTTGTTGGTGTACTTCGTCGTCTATGATTACCACACAAATGCATTCTAAGATAATAAGCTATATGCTATACAATTTAAAATTTTGAAGCAAGTAATGGTAGTGGGACGTTTCTGCTACTTCAATTAATCATGGATCAATTTGTTTATTCGATACACTCTAAGAAAGAATATCAAACCTTAAATTCATTGTTAACGAGCGGTCGTTTGATTCACTATGTCCATTTACATAGTATTAAAATACACATACACATATACACATATACATGTACACACACACACACACACACACACACACACACACACACACACACACTAT